GGGGCAGGGGCAAATGGAGTGAAGCAAGCTACAGCTATCAGTGCAAAGTCTCTAATTTAAGAATTCAGTTATCTATGAACATGATTCAGGTGTTTGAGACCAGAAGTCATAGGCGATATTACGATCAAAAAGCAGATGAAAGAGGGTAAAGTGCAACAAGACCAGCCAGGACTCAAGGCTTTTGGGAGAATGCAATAGGAGAGGGTTACAAAATGATGTCGTTCTGTAAGACAGTTTATACATTACAACAGCAGCGATCAGGTGGCTAGCTTAAAACTTGACTACAATAAAACATTTTTTTTTTCATGCCAGAATGAAGAACAAGCAGATGACTGTGACAGGACATGCAAAGCTAGGCTAAAGGATGAAAGGGGCAGAGTATTAGAAATGCAGAATTCCCCCCACTCACTTGTGATATCATAAACAACAACTGCAACAGTGGAGTCACGAATGTAGCTAGGAATCAAGCTCCTGAACCGTTCTTGACCTGCTGTGTCCCATAATTGCAACCGTACCTAACAAAATCAGTCAAACAAGCAAGAAAAATAAGAAAAAGGTCAAACCCAGTGCAATATACCTACTTGTGATATCGTAAACTACTACAGCAGCAGCAGAGTCACGGATGTAACTGGGAATGAGGCTACGGAAACGTTCCTGACCCGCAGTATCCCACAGCTGCAACCTGATCTGTGGGTGGGAGAAAATTAAAAAAGCCAAACTGCCACTAAAAATAAAAGAGTAAATAAATTGTACTTTTTGAAAAAAGCTAAACAAAAATTAGAAACTCATGCAGGAGATGACTGGGGACTGGGAGCAGCAGCATACTGTCTCCTTTACAGCAATCTCTCCCAAGCGCTAGCAGTAGCCAAACCGGTATATGTGCACCTATCTTGGCTTTCCGCTGTCTTCGCGTTTTAAAAAATGCTTCCCTTCCAAAAGCGGCGAAATGGAATCGCTCAGCTTTCAAACTGAGAGGACCAACAAGAAAACTAAGGCAAACCTTCACCTGCAGTTCTGCCTACACAACATTGTCATGCTCTGCTGCTAGCCTTCCTTGGGACTCACACGTGTCACCCCCAGCAGCCTGGAGGACGGGTGCTGGTGGAAGAATCAGACCACACACCACATTTGTCAAGGAAGAGCCTTTAGCTGCTGTCAAAGCCCTGGAAAAGCTACTGATATGAATTTTTCAAGGAGGATAAAATGCTCGATTTAGGCCTTAGCCACACTGCGACGTAACACGCACACAGATGAGGTTGAACGTCTCTTACCGTCAAGGTTCTGAAAGAAAAGGCAAGATATGCTAAAAGCAACGTGTATGGCAAGATGCGCGAGGGCCAGGTTTGCTATGGAAAGAACATCTCGTCACTCAAGCGCTTCCAATGCAATCACATTTATTGTGGGTTTATACAATACCATAAGCTTATGCAGCACTGCACAATTTGCTTCTGCAAATAGCTCAGTGGCTGAATTTCTTAATTAAGAATCTGAGCTCATTTTAAACTACAGGCTTGCTTCCACAGAGGAGCGATTTCATTTCAGGAACTAGAACTGCACCAAGCGAAGAAACAAGTATCATTTGTGGATTACTGTTGAAGGCAACCTTCTTTTTAAAGAAGTGGTATTAAGAATAACGAGCCAGTTATTAACCGGCAACAGTTGGCAATTTACATTTTATCTTTCTGTCTTGTGACATCAAAAACTGAAGGGGTTAAGCAGGGTCCCTTTCTCCAAACTCCCCACCATTATGCACCCCTCAAACTATCCATATCGTCTTCAAAGAGGATGACACGCTAGCACCTTCTGCCACCTGTAAAATGGCACTCGTGAGCCCCCCCGAGACGAACCAAATGGTGGTTTCCCCGTTTCCCCAAACAGAGAAGGGAGCTGTCTCCAGCTTGTCAGTCTGGAAGCAGCTGGTAGATGAAGGCTCAGTCTGTACTTCCAAGCCATCTCAGAACTGTGGGCTGCACAATTAACAACAGATGCTGATCCTCATTCCTACTGTACATAGAGAAGCGCAATAAAAATCTTACTCACTGTTCGATCCTCCAAATACATGGTTTTCGATAAGAAGTCAATGCCAATTGTTGCCTGTAAAAAAATGGAAAAACCAACACCTCTTAAATAAAACGTCAGAACAACTGTAGTGATTTTCAGGGGAGCGAGCGTTACTGCCACATTAGAATCAGCACATGTAGCGCATCTGCAAGAAAAAATACGCTGGTTTTCTTACTTTCAAGATATAGCTTTACCTATAAGTAAGATTCAATAAGCAGTTTCCTTAATATCCACAACCAGAACAATATCTTAAAGCACAAGAAGTTGTTAACCTTAACTTCAGTTCATGCATATTGACAGTTTACGCCATATAGTCATGGGTATCAGCAAGGATTTTTATGCATACGACCTAAGTCCATCAGCTGAACCAGGATATCTGGTATCACAGCCTTTCAGTACTTAAAGGGGGCCTATAGGAAGGATGGGGACAATCTTTTTAGCAAGGCCTATTGTGACAGCACAAGGAGTAATGGATTTAAAGTGAAGGATAGATTTAGACTGGATATAAGGAAGAAATTTTTTACACTGAGGGTGGTGAAGCACTGGAACAGGTTGCCCAGAGAGGTGTTCGATGCCCCATCCCTGGAAACATCCCAGGCCAGGTTGGACGGGGCTCTGAGCACCCTGCTCTGGTTAAAGCTGTCCCTGCTCACTGCAGGGGTTGGGCTGGATGATCCCTAAAGGTCCCTTCCATCCCAAAATATTCTGTGATTCTATTCTATCATTCTATGATCTGGGTACACTGTATTCTTCCTGACTGCCAAATATCTTCATGTATCTTAATTTTAAGCCTTTTTCATAAAGGCTGAGGTGCACATCTTCACATCTGCTGCAACACAAGAGCGTGCGCACGTGCATGGCCCCCAACAATTACCGAAGCTCAGTTAATGCTAAAGCTCACTGCAGCATAACTGCATCCAAGTTTCTAGACACTAGTGGGAGCTTCGCGTAGAACATCCTTCTATGTGTTTAAGAGAAAGAGCAAAGCGCTACCAAGAGCTGCTTCTTAAATACCAGATCTTCACCCCGTTTTTCAAGGCTGAGGTGAGGGTGAATCCAAGCTCTGGGAGTTCGTTTGCAGCAGGGATACAAGTGAGCTGACCTGTTGGGGCTGTAAAGGCTTCAGCAGCACACTGAGCATCTCAAGCAGCTGCACTGCTCAGCGACATCAATAGAGCCTGGAAAACTTTCCAAGCAAATTTATTTAAAAAGAAAAAAAAAGAGAAAGGGAAAAACCCCAACAGATATGAGGTAAATCTCTCAGCTAGGGCAAAGAGGTTTCATACTGCCTCTTCCCCGCTCTCCCACACTGAAACAGGTATTTCTAATGGAGAGTCTATTTTACTGTATATGCTCCATATTGTTAGACTGCTATTATGCCCTCACTATATATCCCCATAATTAATTCCTTCTATTCTGCCAGATATTTTACGTGGTGGGAATAAAGAATAGAGCCAGCCAGCCTGCTTGTGAGCAATACATGAAAACCAGCTGCAAATGAATAAAAAATAAGCAGAACTGAACAACCCAAACCGAATTTCCATTTGCAACTAATTATAACACATCAGAAAACAAACTTTCCTGGCTGGATCAGGACAGCAGATTTGGAGTATCAGAGATGCATATGGGAAAAATAAATACTGGTGGATCCCAAGACAGCTACCCAGTGATTTTCAGCTGTCATCAAGAACTGTGACATTACCAGTTCAGAGAGATGATACTGAAACTGTAAGGCAGATACAAGAAGCCTCAAAAGGCTAATGCAACCACACGCTTCCCGTCTGGTTTGGTTTTCTATTGTTTTGGTGAAGGGTACTCCTTGGACGATTGCCTCAAAGATGCTTCTCTTTTCCCCTTGTGTCTACTTGATTTCACTTCACAGAAGAAAAGCTACAAAATGCCTAAGATCTCACACCATATATATGAGTCAAGATCCCCTTCCAGCTGACAAACTGCTGGAGACTCAGATTTTTTTCTCTGCTCTCAGAAGGAGCTGGAACATCAGCTGCAAAGCCCGAAACCTGCCTCAGCCTGTACTTCATGCCATCCCTCCCACGCAGCTGCACGGCAGCAAGAGCTCTGAAGCTCACTCGCTGCCGTAAGAAGTCTCTGTATGCCTGGTGGAAATGCAACTGCCACGCAGAAATGCATCGGGTCAGCGAGATTCCTGCACTGCCACGCAGAAATGCATCAGGTCAGTGAGACTCCTGCACTTGAACACTCACGGCATGGGAAACGCAACAGAAAGGCCAAGCACAAAATTTATTTTAGATCCGGGCAATGAAAATATTTGTGCTAATGGTGTCGAGAAGAACGTATGGCACGTCTGTTACTTTCAAGATGCGAAATGGCTCTTGACCTAAGCCCCCACAAGCTTCAAGAATTACATGGAATAACTTACAGCCAAACAGATTTGTCCACCTGTACTGTTGTGACCTTATCACGATGATACGGAGAAGCAGCAGATGTCAAGGAACGGATCCAGGCACTCTAGATCCCAGACTTTTACTAAAATAGGTAACCTACAAAGAGGCATTTTGTCACAATTCTGATAGAAGGAGCAAAGAAAGCTTGGGGGATCTTTACAGATCAGTTGTAACGAAGAGCTGTGCAATGTATGAGTAGAGTAAAAGTCTGCTTGCTGATGGGGACATGAAACGAAGCTAATGACTGTAATTAAGGTGGAAGCAGGTTTAACCCGCTTGTGAAATGCTGTGCACCACAGGGAACAAGCAGGAACCAGGCATGCTCTGAACATGATGCGAGGTACTGTAAGCCCCAACTGTAAATTTAAAGAAGACAAGCAGAACAAAAAAAAAAGCTCGAGAGGGCCACACTACGGATGGGGTCGTGTATGAGAACGTTTTATAATCCATCTGTCCTTACAACGCTGCTGTCTAATAAGGAGCTGTTGTTACTCCATTTTATAGACTATACTTGCTGACGCAGAATTACCCAAGACTATGGAAGGAAGCCCGAGGCAAAGCAAGAACCTGATTTATCTTTCAACTCTCAGGCCAGCGTTTCAACTCAACACTGTCCTCCCTCTCCCCTCTGCCAAGAGGCTGAAGCTAAAGGGAAGCTTGGCCCATAATTCTCCTCTTGCGTAACACGCACAGAATCAGTCACGTTTGCCAGCACTGGTCTTTTATTATACATCACATAAGGTGCCACAGGAACAAGGAAAACCTTTCCCAGTGTGTCCAAGGAGAGGAATCACTCCTGGTAAAATGTACACCACCAATGGCACAATTTTATTTCAGGTGTTTGGGTTTCCTTAACACAGTACAGTGAGTTCTTGTTTGAGTCACAAGTGCCGCTTTCAGGAAAACAGCTTATTAATAAGCTACGGCAGCAACAGCTGAATTCCTCTTATCTAGCAGCAAAAGAAAACTAATGCACAGCACAGATTTTATTAAACGGCAGCTTTCTATTTTTACCAACTGAACAGAAAAAAACCTTGTTCAAATGATAGGTTGTGGCAGCTTTCAGAAAATACGCATTCAAAATTTATCAGAAACGTCCAGAATGAGCAAATCATCCATCAACTAATCTACAGCTACAGTTAACCACGTACACGGTTTGCTATGCATCATCATTCAAGTACTTGGCTTTGAGAGGTCTCTATATAATCCTGGACATTGAGAAATTTATATTCTGGTTTGACACTAACATGGGGTGTGATTTTGGCCAAATTACTGGAGCTTTTATGACTCATTCTTTCTGCCAGCTATAGCAAAATAGGACCTATGGCCCCACGTCAGTCATGACTTCAGTAAAACAGAGGTCTTTGCATGAATGACGCTATACCAACCACGTACATTAACACCCAAACTAGGCACACATCAGCGATAGCTAAATTGAAGCTATCTGGTAAGCCCTTAAGATTTCTTACTGGTTTAAGTCCCACTCATTCATTTTGCAGTCGTTTAGTATATTATGTCAGACCAGCTTCCCATGGAGACAACTATATTATCATAAAGCACAGAGGGTCCAACCTCTTCAAGAAAGAACTAGGACGCAAGCTCCGTAGAGAAAAGGAACAGACCTGAAAGAAAAATACTGTGGGAAAAAAACAGATTAAATAAAAGAACTGCATTCACATGTCCATGTAATTACAGTGGGTAGAATTTGAAAGGATGTTTGCTCCCTTGGGAGCAATGATGTGTACTCTAGCCCTCCTACACCATAGAAGCTTTGCTTCTCCTGTAGTTAAGCAAGAACTTGCATCTCATTCTACCCAACTTGCCTAGCAGCAGCAATGAGGAATTACTGAAGAGGCAGGAAGGAAACCATTAAGGGGTAAAGAGATTTAAACAAGATACTTGGATAGACACTAAGTAACAGAAGAGTTGCAGCATTTTTCTTATTTTTTTCCCATTACCTCCTCCTCCCACCCCCCTAAAAAACCCTTCACATTCATCAAGGAACAGATTTTTCTCAGCTTAGTGTATTCAGAACGTCACCAACTGTAACCAAGTCATGACACATGTTCTGCTTGGAGAAGACACACTTTATGAAACTAAAGTACTTTTATAGCTTGCCACCTTTTCAAGCTCATCCTAAATTCTGGGAGTGGGCAACAACGATTGCTCTCCTAGAATTTAGGAAAGTTAGCTTGTGTCAACTTGAACTGATTTGTCACCAAACGTGAAGTAGTGAGGGGGCTGCAGGACCGACTGGAACAGAAGACCACCACCGCTTCAGCCCCAACCTTGCCAACCCCAGTCTTGTTGAAACAATAAATAAATAAGCATAAATAAGCTGTCACAGGATGGGGACATGCACAACAACCAGTTTTGTGGTCTTTGTTCCAGCAGACAGCATAAAATAGCATCCTAAAGCACACCCAGCCCTACAATCCACTGCTTTCTGCTCCACAAGGCCTTGTTCACCCCGCTGCAGAATCTCTCGCAGCTCAGCTCACTCCTTTTTTAAGAGAGCCAGGTGGATTTTAAGAGAGCCAGGTGTTACATTTTCCCCACAGAGGCATTAGATCTGTGATGGTCTGCTAGCAAATGGGGGGGGAAGAACAAACCAAACAAAAACCTGGTAGACTTAACAACTGCTATTACTTGGGTATACCCAAGAAGCCTATCCTTTCGAACCCCAACTCACCCTGCTGCAAGCAGTACATAAGCTGCTCAAGCAGAATCCAACACTGAAATGCCATTCTGAAAGGTTATTAAGATACAAAACTTCAAGATTCTACAGTTAAGAATTTGGTCAGTGTACCGACTCTTATCCATTGCAATCAAATGGATTCTTCCTGCAATAGGAGACATGGCAACAGAGGCACCTTACAGAAGACAGTAATATGGATTAATTTACCTGGTAGGTGTTGTCAAAGCTGTCATACATGAACCTGGTGATCAAGGAAGTCTTCCCCACTAGAACAGAAAAAGAAAAAAAAAATAGTCAAGGAACAATTTCAGTGCAAGTTTTAAACAACTGATTTTAAAATGGTTTCAGGAAGAGTTGAGTCCAATAGATCCATACTGTGCAATTAAACTTCCTACAACCAGAAGACTAGTTCCTTGACTTTACAATTGCAAAGTCACTAGTAGGCACATTTTTTCTGAAAAAGGTTAGCTCCTGTATCATTCCCGAGCATCAGTTTTACTCCTAAATCACATCCGTGATTCGAGACAAAAATTGAAATAATTTGATCATTCCAGTTTCTACCAAGTCATTCAGGAACTTTAGTTGAACTAAATGAATAAATGTAATAGGTCTGACAACCCCTACAACAACTTATTATAAACAAGACAGCTCTTCTCGCTCATAAAACAAAGTAGCTACATCGCTTTAAAATACATCTCGCTGCGCATCTCCTCAATGTCACACTCCCCTTATCTGTCACACAAATGGCAGTCCCCCACCGTAGTATCACGGTAGCGGTAAGACAAGATTGAAGAGCATCATTGTTGAGAGGCTTGTTTACCATCCGCCCACAACGCCTGCAGTCCTTATCACTCCATTAACTTCACCCTTCCTTTGACAAGGTATTCGCTATACCTTTTTGTATAAGCAGGTTCACAGGCTGTTACAAATGCCATTATCCACCCCAGCGATGGCTGCAGCTCGTGACCGGTATATCTGCTTGGCTGTTCAGCATCAGGAGGAAGTCAGTCGGCGCTGCCATCAGAAGGTGTCACTGCTGCATGCTCAGGCACACCTGGCAGTCACAGAGACACAGGCGAAGCCTTTTTCACACAGCCATTTGCCATGCTGTTCCTCCTCTGGAACTGCGACTCAGCTTGGCCAGGTTAAATCCCAGACTACATCGAACTATGTCAAGATCCTCATTTCATAACCGAGATCAACATAAACCGTGCGTATCGTAACATTCCAGACAGGTATCAGACTACCTCCTAATCTCATTTTCCTTAAAAGACAAGTAATACAAGGTTCATTTTAAAACAATCCTTGTCACAACCGTTACTTTCTACTCCTGTAAGACCAACCATACAGCTGAGCTGGGACAAAGCCTAACTCGTACCCAGTGGGCAACTTTTTCCCACTCCATGCCACAGAATCACAGAATCGTTTAGGTTGGAAAAGACCTTTAAGATCATCCAGTCCAACCAGTAACCTAACACTGCCAAGGCCACCACTAAACCAATTCAGGGGAGAGTAGCAACCCCACGCCTCCTGGCTTGGTGGCTGGATCATTTATAATGAAAGTAAAAACTAGGAAACATTAAGATTGGAAAGGATCTCTAAGATCATCAGTCCAACCATCAACCCAACACCACCATGCCCACTAAACCATCTCCCAAAGTGCCACCTCTGCCCGTTTTTTGAACACTTCCAGGGATGAGGACTCCACCACCTCTCTGGGCAGCCTGGTCCAGTGCTTGACTATCCTTTCCATGAAGACATTTTTCCTAATATCCAATCTAAGCCTCCCCTGGCGCAGCTTGAGCCCATTTCCTGTCATATGGCTGGTTACATGGGAGAAGAGACCGACACCCACCTCACTGCCCCCTCCTGTCAGGAGCTGCAGGGCAATCAGGTCTCCCCTCAGCCTCCTCTTCTCCAGGCTGAACACCCCCAGCTCCCTCAGCCGCTCCCCACCAGCCCTGTGCTCCAGACCCTTCCCCAGCTCCGTTGCCCTTCTCTGGCCACGCTCCAGCACCCCAATGTCCTTCCTGTACTGAGGGGCCCAAAACTGGACACCATCTTCACCTGGAGGGGACCAGCAAGACATGCAAGAACTGGAACATCTCAACCTGCCTCATTTCAGTATGTTTAAATACTCTGAATTATAGGCAAATTATTTAGGAAACAACTGAAGTTACTCAAGAATATATCACCTCCCATTGTTTTCTTCTAACTTCCTTGCAGCTGGAATTTGCCACCTCTCACTAGCAGGGGAGAAGTTAGCCATCAAACATCGCAGGTACAGATAAAAGGCAGTTACGCATGCACAAGCCACAGCTTGTGTTCTTCAAACAAGCTTCCAGAGATGTTAGTTCTCTACAAGGGTGACCATCAAGAAAGTAGGGGTATTTAAGCCAAGATTTTGGGGGTGTGGGTGGGTTTTCGGCTTTGTTTTTATTGTTTTTTAAATCTTAGTATAAAGCTTTCAACAAAATCTCCAGCATCGTACTTAAGCAGCATTTTAATCCATCCACAAACTTTAGTTAACTCTGTAGAAGTGCTAAACTAACAGGAATCCAGTAGACAGCCTTTGAGAAAAAGATTTTTCCCAAGTCAGGATTTGAATCCTGTGTGAATTTTTAACATATTCTGCTCCATAGGCATAATCAGGTTTCCCACAAAGTTAAAAAGCTGCCTTCACAAAAGCAGAGCAAACATTCCCTTCGGTGAGTAGGTTTTCGGAAGCAACGCATCTCAGACGGGCAGGATTCCCGAATCCCTTATTCAACTTTGTCCCAGGCCCCCCCGGATGCGTTGAACAACAGCACAAGCTGGTGCAGGACAAACAGCCATAGGCTGCGAGAGGAGGAGGGTTTCACTCCAGACCCAGCAATAGCGACAGTCTTCAAGAGACAGAGAAGAGCAAATCCAATACCTTCCCACTGTGGCACACACTATAAATCCCAGTAACAGCTTTGCGGCACCACAAACAAGCTGGCTTTTCCTCACGCGGCTGCTGATACAAACAGTCAAATTTAATTCTTTAGAGGTGCAAGGGGATGTGAGCAAACCTACGAAATAATTTGCTTTGGTAAGGGACAACCCCTGAAGAACGCTGAAGTCTTCTGGCAAATCATTTCTCTTCGCACTAAACACCGAGATGTCTTGGAGGGAGTCTGTCTAGAAACTATAAAATCTGAAAAGATTTTCTACTTCATATTCCTGGAGCTTCCCTACCCTACCTTCACTTATTTCACAAAGAGAGGGGAAAAATAAGGTGCTGCTTGGCTTGCTTAAATTTAAATATCTGCTTCAACCAACATTTGGATAGAGTGTCTTAACACGCTTCAGTTCTAAGCCATTTCTTCTCCAAACAGACCAAGGTTTTCTTTACATAGTATGTCAACAGGCACCAGGTCAAGTCGGTATTAAGACCAGCTGCTTACAGTTTTAATTCCACCATGACTACTGAAGCATCACCATTTCGCCTTTAAAAAAAAAAATTTGCTTTAAAAATCCTGGCAGAAGTGAAAGCCCACAATTCCCACTGTATCTATAATTAAAAGGAAAAGACAGTGAATCTTCTCTTCAGAGATTCACAAGTTTAGATTATATAAACAGACACCTTGGCCAGAGGGTTACAGGCTTTAAATATTCCCTCTTTCAAAGAGCCACTCCCAATAGTTAACACCATCTCACCTCTCCCCAGCCTCCCCACACACACCACCCCACCTGCCGATGGCAGAAACTATCCCCAGCCCTATAAAAAATAGCCGGATGAATCACCTTAGGATTCATATACCATCTGTTGCACGCTGAAGTGCTGTGGATGCATATGCTGATTCTCCTCTGGAAGCCATGCTGCTATAAGCCCTGTTTCAGAGAGCTTGAATAGAGAAGGAAAACACACAGAAATTAATCTATCGTCAATTATGTTGATCGCGTTTCTCCCATGCGGAGGCACAGCACAGGCCCCTGGGCTAGTCATGGCTAAAGCACTGTCACACGTGATTTTGTGAGTGCACCGAGCACTTCAACGTGCTAACTGTATTTACAACTGACCTAACACAACCGTTATGGGCTAAATTCCCAGTAAGGATAATCCTTTCCGAAGGGAGACCCCATCATGTGGCTAAGCACACCACAACCTGCAGAAATAGTTGATCTTTTTTCCCTTCCCTTGGCAAGGCAACAAGGAAGGGCCACTGAGCTGCAGTTCACCATTTGCTTTCAGAGTCGAGCCCCTGGGCTCTTGGATGAGTTTTATTTTGACATCAGTTTTTATTCGGAATGTCACAATGGAGCTAAGCCCCTGTGTGTGACTTTATTATTGTTATATTTCTTTCTTTTTAAAGAACGTTGCCAAAAAAAGAACTAATTTATTGACCGAGGATCGGCAAGAGAGTTGGAATCCCACTCTTTCATATTTTCACTTGCTTTCTCTTGTCTTGCTGGCTTGTATGTTTATCAAATTCACAGAAGGCATTAATTTGGGAGTGACTGCAAGGAAGTTAGAGGACAGAATCAGAATTCACCATAATCTTGAAAAATGTAGAAGTGACCTCAAGAGGAAAATGAAACTCAGCAGGGAGAAGTAGCACAAGGTAATACACACAGACAAGAACAACTGGCTGCTTAAAACACAGATTGCAAACAACTGGGTACGCAATCTGGGGGTTATAACCAAAGGAAGCAGATAAGGCTGAAGCCTCGACTGTCTTATTTCATTAAGCAGCTGGGTTTTTTTAAATCTACAGGGTTAATTTAATCTCTGAGAAAATTTCAACACATAAGTCTGTCCTGGGCAGCCTTAGTCAGCGATGCAGTAGCATACAACATCCTTTAGGCCAAAATATTTCTGGTATGCTGCTGGGACAGGAAAAGAAAAAAGTTAACATTATCCTTGGAGGAATAAAGGTGGGGGAGGAAATGCTGCGAATAGGGTTTTACCGCAGCACACAGCTTTGGCTGGAGCAGCGCGGGGGATTCTGCTGGACACACTGACAGCGAGTAAGGAAAAACCTCAAACAATTCAGGAGTTGAGAAGGAGCTTTTTGGCAAGAAAAAAAAAAAAAAGGCAGCTTGCATAGTTTACCAGAACAACTGAAAGGCGACGGAGAGCAGAGAAGTATCTTAGTGATAAGGAAAGGTGGCCTCCAGCCTCTTTTCTTTCTGTAGATCTAACAGCTGAAAGCCAAGTCCAACCCAAGTCCTACCAGAAAAGGCATGCAATTTTAAAAGTGAGGCTAATTAAACTCTGAAATAACCTATTCAGCTGGG